TAAGTGTCTTAATGATCTCAGGCCTTCTTATCTTTCAGAACTGCTTTTACTACATAAACTCTCGTGGTCTCTGCGCTCCTCTGGCAGCCGTCTCCTAGTTATCCCTAGAGTTAAGACACACACCCACGGTGAGGCGTCCAAGTATTACGGCCCTCGCCTTTGGAACGGGCTGCCGGAGGACCTCGGGGCCGAAGGGAACATCCAGGCTTTTAAGAATAGGCTCAAGACCCACCTTTTTAGCTTAGCTTTTAACTGATTACTATTTATCTAGTTTGTTTAACTTTCGCTTGTCGTATTTGTTTATATATATACCTATTTATCTCTAACTTAATTTTATTATTTTATTTACATCTTAGTGTTTTTATATGATTGTTTTATTTTACTATCTTTATAATCACTTTTTATCATTTACTTTCTATCCATATTGGCTTTTGTTATTTTACAGTTATATATTTTAATCCTCCAGTTTTTCCTCTGCGGAGCCCTCTGCCTTGGGGCCGGTGGTCGGCGGCGGCGGCCGGGGCGCTCCTCGGATAGTGCCCGGGCAGTGGTGGGGGTCTTCGCCCTCCCTCCCTGGGTGTCTTGGGCTGGTGTCTTGGCTGCTGCCGTGGATCTGTTGATGTCGAGGCAGATGGCTCCGCTGATGATGTTGTCCATTACCTGACCCATCTAAACTCAGCCTATTGTTTAACTCTGTTGTTCACGTGTGCATGTGTGCGTGTGTGTGTGTGTGTGTGTGTGTGTGGGCATGCGCGAGTGAGTGTACGTTCACTTTGGAAATTGGTTGCGGGAGGGGAAGTGTAATTGTCAATTGTGTTATACTTGGGGAGGGGGGCTGGTATGGGAATATGGGATCAATGGGGCCATTTTAATCTGTGAAGCACTTTGAGTTGCTTTTTTTTTTGTATGAAAAGTGCTATATAAATAAAGTTGATTTGATTTGAACACTGGCTGTTCTTTTACAGAATTCACAGCTGACCAGTCCTAAATCGCCGTAACATTATATTAGGTCAGTAAACTGGCACTGAAGGCCCAACTACCAAATACACGCCACAGCTAAAATCATGTTAATCATGACCCGTATTATTTGGGTTTAACGGGCCCGGTCATTTTCTCCACCCCCATGGCTCGGCTCTGATTTGTTCCGCTGTTGGTCGTGATAGCCTCGGCAAGCAACAATGTCAATTGTCGGTACACACGGATAGTGGAGAGATTTTTAATGTGACACCAAGTCTTACCATCCAGTGTTTTGTACTGAGGTGTGGGAAGGTTTTGCTCCATCTAGATGTGCAACATAATAGAGAATATGGGTTTGTATTGGTGAAATTCCGGTGATAGGATACATGTCACGATACCGGGTAGACGATAAGATATATCGCAATACATTAATTCAGACGTTATTAGTTATTTTTTTAGACCGAATTTAATTTTGGGAGTCCAAACTGATACGTAACATGTTTAACATGAGGTATCTGAACCATAATAGTTCTATTTACATTTCAATGGTGGGAATAAAACTCATTACACTCTACTGCCAACTAGCTGTCAGCGTTTGAATTGCACCAAAGAAAAAAATACACAAATGTTTGCATATTCATCACATTTACGGTAAATTCTTAAAAATTAGATGCACAGCTTTTGAATATCTATGTAATATAGCTGGGAAAAACAAGTCAGGATTTATTGCCATATCCATATTTTCTTACATTCCTAATAGAGAAGTTTCCCAACAGACTCAAGGCTGTCATTTGGTGAATGTGTGTGAATGGATGCACTGAACTGTAAAGCCCTCTGAAGTGCTCTGACTCCAAAGTGCAGGTCCTTTATCATTTAAAGCTAAAGGTGGTTCAGACAAATATTGATATGGGGGTAATCCTTTATTAACTTCAGTAGTTTTATTTTTTTACATGTTCTGAACTCTAATTTTGATGCAATTTAGTTTAATGTTATGGTTGTTGCATTAGATAAGAATTGCTGGTGAAAGCTATTTTGTTTGTTTCATTCAACAAAATGAGTCTTCAGAGGGTGTGGTTCTTTTCTAAAGCCACTGTGCACACAGGATAGAAGATGTAATTAGATCTGTAACTGGCAATGGAGGCCAACTGTGAGCTGGTGCTCTCCTGCTGATTCAGCAGCCTGTGTGTGTGTGTGTGTGTGTGTGTGTGTGTGTGTGTGTGTGTGTGTGTGTGTGTGTGTGTGTGTTACAGCAGCTAGGCTGTATCCAACACGACCAAACATGTTGCATCGTCAACTCAATCTTTATTTATACAGCGCTTTATAGGCACAAGTCCTAGAATGAAAAACCTTCTCCTATTATTGTGAATGGGTCGTGGTCTCTGTTGTTGTTCTAGGTGTGTTTTAATCCTCGCACTTCGGGGCCCTCCACTGATCTGTCAACTCTGTAGTCTGATGAGACAGTACTCAGATCCACTGGTAGCGTTTAGTCCACAAGACTGTAGCGCCTCCGTGTGTGAGCAATGTAGAGAGAGAGTGGCCATATACTCTGAATCATGGGGATTTCCTTTTTTCCTTTCTGGTCACATGACTGCAAATATGGGTGTGGTCTTTAACATTCCTAGCCTCTGTGTTTGTTTCTTCATTGTGGCATGATGCCTCATTCTCACACACACACACACGCACACACACACACACCCACCCACCCCTCTGTGTGTGAAATCACAGTGACATGAATCAGAGTGCAGCAGAGGGAAATATTTCCTCTTCCTGTGGAGGGTATTACTGGTGTGTGCTTTCATGTGTGTGTGGGCAGAGGAAGGTGGTGCAACTTGCTTCTTTAGTATGCAGAGCAGGTGTTTCTGCAGAGAGCAAAGGAGGAGGAGGCTGTGAAATGAGGGTAGATTTACCGTATTTTCCAGAGTATAAGTCTCTCCGGAGTATAAAGCCTGATTCATGCTTCTCCATCAGCTCTGCAAGGGACAGACACACATGGATTGACTGAAGCGTTTTGCTCTCATACTTCTCTGTCTCCTGGGGAGTGTTGCAAAGCAATTCCCTGGCAGGACAACAGAGGGTGTAGCGCTGTTCTGTGGTATCCTGTAATGTATCCGGTCCAAGTTGGTGTGTTTATATTGTGTTTTTTGTATATAAGACTTTTTAACACAGACAAATTTGTCTCTCATCCTCCTCCACCTCTTCATGCGCTCGCCACCTCTAAACCCATGTTTCCTGTCATTTCTGTCCACAAATAAAACGCTTGCTGTGCATCTTTTCACTCCTCCAGTCACGGGGGAATTAAACGTTCATATTTTAGACTTTTTTTTTTTTGCGAGGTATTCTTCAAGCTCCTCCGTGTCTGCCGCTAGTTATCCTCGGCTCTCTTTATGTTTTTGAGGGCGCAATGGCAGCAGTGTAGACAACAGCGACATCCTGACCAATCACAAGCTTGCGTTCTCCATCTCGACGGACGGATGTTTAAAAAAGTAGGCTCCACTCCGTACGCACTTGCGTGCCTGCCGGGCCCTATGCAAAGATGGATAATGGCGTTACGTGTCTCCCCACTGACTCAGACGGAGAAGCATGACTCAGACTTAAGTCGCACCAGCCATGAAATGTATAATGAAGAAGAAAAAACATACCGTAATTTCCGGACTATAGAGCGCACCTCAATGTAAGCCGCACCTACTAAGTTTTTAAAAAAACATGGAACTGTATTTATGTAAGCCGCACCGGGCTAAAAGCTGCAGATATCTACTGGATATCTACTGAATTGAAAACGTAGTTTAACTGAACGTAACTGAACTGATCAGTATCAAACAAAACAGAAAAGTTATTGATTAGTTTATTCATCCTCCTCTTGCGCACTGAAACCACCGAAGTCATCTTCAGTGTCGGAGTTGAACAGCCTCATAAGAGCTTCGTCACATACCTTTTCTGTGGTGATGTCAGTGTCGCTGTCCGTGTTGCTGTCATCATCCCCGGGTGAAGCTGGCTTGAATGAGTTCTTCCCGCTGCCGTCTCCAGCGCTGAACCATGGATTCATTCATACCAAGCTTACGTGCGGCAGCACTGTTTCCCTCCTTTACTGCCAGATCGATGGCCTTCAATTTAAATGCGGCAACATATGAACTCATACGTGTAGTTACCATGATGAGTTGGTATGGATTTGAAACAAATTCTTCGTCATGCCGGCTGCTTGCATGTGCTAAATTAAAATGAGCACTTTCTTCGATTTCCACTTTTGACTTCCACCTGTTTCACTTTCTGCCAAAGCGCCCCCTGGCAGGTAAAGGAAGATCTTCAGTAAAGCCGCACCTCATTATAAGCCGCATGGTTCAAAGCGTGGGGAAAAAGTAGCGGCTTATAGCCCGGACAATACGGTATATAAGTCGCACTGGACTATAAGTCGTATTTTGGGGTGAAATTTTATTATTTTTCTTACAAAATCTGAGACCAAGCATTTCACATTGCAAGAGAAGTACCGGTAACAATAACAGAATAAACAATCAGGGCGCAGCAGCGCACCATGGTCTCTAGCAGAGGATGGCGGTGTTTCAAACCCTCCCAGCGGACGGGGAGAGCACCCGCAGCACCCCGCCACAGGCTGCAGCAGGTGATGGCGGTGTTTGAAACCCTCCCAGCGGGACAGAGGAGCTGAAACCTGGACCGGAGCCGGTCCGCAGCAGCGCGGTATACATCATTTTGTGTGTATATAAGTCACTTTGGTATATAAGTCGCAGGACCAGCCAGACTATGAAAAAAGTGCGACTTGTAGTCTGGAAAATACGGTACTGATAAATAAAAGAAGATGAAAAATAAACAAAATTCCAAAACAAAAGGTAAACCCAAGCTGAGATCTATAAACAGCCTGTACTCTAAGATGAGCAACGTGATCCGTTCTGGTTCATGGAAACGGAGAAACTCTCCTCTAACCGCCTAATTAGTCTCCATGAACCATTTCTGAAACGTCTGCTGGTGGTGATGTTTGGTTTGTGTGATCTATCTGCTGCCTGAAACTCTTCCTGTTCCTGTTTCCTTTGCAGTGTGAAGCCAAAGGAACATGTTTACTTCCCTGTTTCCATGGTAAAAAGGAGCATGCAAGTCCAGCCCGGGAGCTGAACCAGTGTTCGTCTCCTTCAACACTACCAAGCAACACTAGCCACCATTCCTGTGAAGTGACACAGTCAAGATTCAGCAGACATTAGGAGGAACAACTCTGCTGTAAAAACAATCAGCATGGCCAACAACACGGCCGACCATCCTCCAGGAAACTCTGTTGCTGAAGGTAACCATGACGGGGACTTTGGGGTGACGATGGAGGAACTGAAGTCCCTTATGGAGCTTCGGAGTGCTGAGGCTGTCAGTAAGATCCAAGAAAAATTCGGAGATGTGCAGGGGATATGTCGCCTCCTGAAGACATCAGTTATAGAGGGTAAGGTTCAATCAGACACACATTCTCACTGCACTGCTGCTAAATGATAAATGACATCCTCTTGTAAAATGCCTGTCTGAGTCCGACGACTCCAAAGCTCTTTACAAGCAATCATTCATCCATTCACACACTGGTGGTGATGCCCTGGGGTACACTGGTCCCTCTGACCACCATCAGCATGCAGGGAGGGTGAAACGTCTTGCCCAACAACAGAAAGGAACTGGGATTGATCCTGTAACCCTCAGATTACTGGACAACCCGCTCTCCTGAACAACTGCTGCCCCGTCTACTGGGTTAAGGATCAGAATCCTGGTGTAGAGTCATCAAAACAAAGACTGACTCCACCATGTCCCGCGGTATGACCTCAGTCATGGCAGCTCAGACAGAAAACACGAGGTTTGGGTCTGAATTCTAGGTCGTCTCTCCGTTTGTTGTACTGCGTCTGGGTTTGTTGGTGACGAAGTTGGCTCCTGAAACTTTGTTTATGTATTTAGCAGACGCTTGTGTCTCCAGCTGCTGTTTTTCTCATGCCCACTGTCATTGTTCATCATGTGAGCTGCACTTGTGTGTCACACACAGCAACAACACCTCATTTGAACAATAACATTACTGTGTTAGTTCATGAAGTCTGTTTGCTTGTTGGTCACTCAATTACTGATCGTTATAAAGTGGATTTACAGCTAGGGCTGGGTACCTTTTAGATTTATTTTAATATCAGCACTTTAACTGGACCCGGTTTTTGGCACCAGTAACTGATAACTTTGTTCAGTACCTATATCTCTAAGTCTAATTTTAAGAGGAAGTAAAAAGTAGTTAAGCATTGTGTTGTGTCTTGTTGCACTGAGCATGTTCATGACAGCATCTTTTATTTTTCCTATTCTTGTTTATTTTTGTGTTTCTTAAGCTAAGCAGAAACGCCAAACTTTTAGTGCAAACTAAACTATGACCGGACAAACATTTTTCTTTTTGGAGCAAAAACAAATTTTTAGTTTGAAGGTTCCAAATCATTGTTATGATTCGAACATTTGGATCCAGGGGTAAAACAAAGGGACTTTTGTTTTATCATTTTTGTTGATGCCGATTAGTCCACTTGTGTTATTTAGTCTCGGTTTATGAATTTCCCTTTGTGCAAATACATTTGTTTCCTCCAGGCCCCCTGGACAGCCAGGGAGGTAACAAACTGTTATATGTTATTTTAAACATTTTGAGAGCTAATGTAGGCACAGTATATGACAAAATATTATCTTTGGCACTATTGACATGTCATTTCTTAAATATGAGTTGTATTCATCAGCCTGATTTCATAGCCAGAAATGAAACGGTTTCAGTGAAGCTCCACCCACAACCGCTCTGACAAAACACACCTACAACAGCGTCAAAGGCAAGGCTGCTGTTGTATTGGGTGTAGTAGTCCTGCGGTTAGCTGACACCGGTTCGACTCCCAGTAGTGTCTGCAGTAATTTATGTAGCCAGCGGAAGCAGATTTCATTTATTTATATTTTAGTTTTATTGATTATATTCAGCAAAATATTTGGTGTGTCAAAAGATCTTCGAATGTGGTCGTTTCTTCGCAGCATTTTAGTTGATGTACCGTATTTTCTGCACCATAAGGCTCACTTGATTATACAGCACACAGCCAATCAGCATCCTAGTAAAAGGTTTGGTCCGCACATGAGGCACACTGGATCAAAACACGCACCCAGCAAAGCAAACGAGCATCCCGGTCGGCACAATTAAGGCAAATTGGGCAATTAGATCAAAGTCAAACGTTACTCCACTCATTATCTATACTAAAAAATAAATTTCTCATTATTAAAGTAACATTTAGTCCCAATTTAATGCACAGGTACTTTTAGCAGCAAGAATGAAGATTTAAATTCTGGTAACGGCATGGCTCACTGAATGCAGCGCTAAGCCCCTCTTACCGCTGCAGAACAGAGGAGCCAAGTCGGCCGGAGATGAAGCATTATGTGCGGCCACTGTGTGGCTGTAATGACCTGGGAGCTGAGCACAGAAGTCTTACTCCAGCTAGTAGTGCGTAATTGGTACAATAAGCCAAACGAAGGAGTTGGATCAAAATCAAACTTTATTCCTCTCTTTCACAATAGGGGGAACCGTGCTGGGCCAGAGTTACCGGTACCTTAATACATGTATAAAAGGTGCATCCGTATTAAAAGGCGCACTGCCGGTTCAGGGGAAGATCAAAGGTTTTTAATAGCGCCTTATGGTGTGGAAAATATGGTATTCTGCTGACCTCACATGTACTCACACTGGCTAATAAACAAACACACATTAGTCCTCATATTTTAACAGTTAAAGCGATGACACAAGTGGACACAAAAGAACCATGTCTCGTCTTGGCGATTAAAGGGGAACTAGGCAGGTTTGGCTTGCTTTTAGCAGCCCCTAGTGTCCATTTGTAGAATCAAAAGCAAAACCTATCTTCTCGATGTGCGTTTGTCATTTTAACACCTTAATCTAAAAGCTGAAATACCTCCCCAGCCGTCCTAAGTGTCTACAGGGGTGATTCATCACTAAATTACTCAAATCAGCTGTGTTCATGATCTTAAACATGCAGGAAGCAGACTGCAGCGCCAGGTATGTCACCTCAACTTTTTTCTAAAACCTGATTTATACTTCTCTGTCAGCATCGGTGTAGAGACGTGCAGCGCCATTATGCGTCAGCGCAAGGGCTGACGCATAATGGCGAAGAATCGTCGACGAATTTTTAGAATCGAGCCGTCGACGTCATCGAGGCTTCACTGCAGCCCTACTATACTGAAGACCAGTTTAAACATAATGTAACTATAAAAGGTAAACTGTTATACATTTCAATTGTAGAAGTCTAAATTCAAATTTTGTGAAGATTGTGCAATGTTTGAAGCAATCAAAACATCAATTTACTGTAATAGCAATCTCTGAGACATGGCTCCAGGAAGGGATGATATCTGTTTCAAATTGAAGGATATAATGTTTTCCACAAGTAGAGATTGCCAAAAAGTTGGGGGTGTGGCTTTGCATATTGATAAAAACTTTAAAAGTAGATTGGTGGGAGATATGACATTAGTTATGGATAACATTATGGAGAGTGTATCTGTGGAAATACAAATGGAAAAGTCTAAGAATGTGTTAGTCAGTTGCATGTATAGGAAACCAGGTTCTTGTATTGAAATTTTTATAGAAAACATGGTTGATATGTATGATGATATAATCAACAAAAAAGTGTTTTGTCTGTGGGGATTTTAACATTGACTTGTTGAATCCTCAAATGCAAAATGCAAATACAGAGTTTATTAATTCTATGTTTAGCCTGGGACTGTATCCACTAATAACTCGGCCAACTGGAATTATAAGAAATAGTGTGACACTGATGGACAATATTTTTACAAATATTCTTGAAAATGATGTGATAAGTGGTCTTATAATGCTGATATATCAGATAATTTACCTTTTTTTTTAGTCGTGCAAAGGACAACTGTAACCACTAAAAGTCAATCTGTTGTTACAAGGCTAAAAAGTCAAGAGGCAGTAAATTCATTTAAAACTGGCTTAATGGAACAAACTTGGGATGAGGTTTATGTGGAAGATGTAAATATGGCTTATGGAAATTTTCTAAATATTGTTACTACTACTAATGAAAAAAAAAATGCTGAAAAGCTGTGGATAACTAAGGGGATTCAGAAGGCTTGCAGGAAAAAATAGCTTTAAAAAGACTATTTAAAGAAAATAACGGAGGAAGAAGAACAGAAATATAAGATATATAAGAATAAATTAATACGTATTATGAGATCTAGTAAAAGAAATTATAGTAAATTATTGGAAGGAAATAAATCTAATATTAAAAACACGTGGTGTCATTGAATGATATAATAAAAAAAGGGTAGTGGCACTAATAACTTTCCAAATATTTTTCTAACAAAAGATAATCAAAAAATGTATCAGTCACCCCAGAGGCAAATGAATTCAATAAGTATTTTACTGAAATTGGGCCAAATTTGGCAAAGGATATAGCAAATACTAATTTAGATGCTGATGCTTTAAGTAAAATAACAAATGTAGATAAAACCATTTTTTTTTTCAAGGCACAAATGAAAATGAAGTTATAACATTTGTTAGAAATTAAAAATAAAAAGTCAGCAGATTTGCATGGATTTGATATGTCTGTTGTAAAAATCACTGAGACTATAGCCAAATCACTTGCACATATTTGTAATCAGTCTCCAATCAGGAAGATGTCCTGAAAGGATGAAGGTTTCAATCAGGAAGATGTCCTGAAAGGATGAAGGTTTCAAAGGTCATTCTTGTCTATAAGGCTGTAGACAAACATGAATGTTCTAATTACAGACAGATTTTTATTTTATCTGAATTCTCCAAAATACTAGAAACAATATTTCATAAAAGATTGTATGACTTTACTGTGCATCATGATATTCTATATGAACAGCAATATGGTTTTTTGATGTGATCGGACAACTTCTCTGGCAGTTGTTCATCTAGTGGAGAAAATATCTGATGCAATTGACAAAAAACAATATGCCGTAGGGGTGTTCTTAGACCTGACCAAAGCCTTTTATACTGTCAATCATGACTTATTACTCAAAAAATTGTGTAGTTATGGCATCAGGGGTGTGGCCTTTTACTGGATTAAGAATTATTTAGAGAACAGACTCCAATACGTCCACATTAACAACACTGATTCACAGCTAATGACTGTGACCACCGGTATCCCACAGGGGTCAGTGTTGGGTCCTTTGTTATTTATTCTTTATATTAATGACATATGTTTAGTTTCAAAAACAATACATTTCATATTATTTGCAGATGATACGAATGTTCTAAGTTTTCGAAAAGATTTAAAAACATTAATGGATGAGGATGAGAAAGAATTAAATGCATTAAAGTGTTTGTTTGATTTAAATAAATTAACTTTAAATTTAAATAAAACTAAATTTATCATATTTACTAATAGACCAATTACAGTGGATACACATCTTAAAATA